TGTCGGGAAGGTGAGCATTCTGGAATGCCAGTTTAATAGAACAAAGTGTTCTTGCATTGAGGGAGTACCATTGGGTGTATCTAAGAATATGAGCCTGAGGCACCCATGGCCTCTGTCAAAGCATTGGAGACAGGTTGGAGGAAACAGTGCCAAAGAGAGACCCCTATGGGTTGGCTGGTGAGGCCTTCCACAGACTCAAAAACTCAACCAAGCATGCCCACATCAATACCTCCATGCAACATTGGTGAAGGAAGACCCAAAGAAAAATCGATGCATTTGAACTATGGCGTTGGCAAAGAATACCAAAAATACCATAGACCACTCAAAGGACGCACAAATCTGTTTTGGAAGCAGCAGGGCCAGAGTGCTCCTTAGGATGGTGACGTGATCTTCCGTATTTTGGCACATGTTACCGGGAGAAGCCAGTCCCTGGAAAATGACATCAGGCTTGGTAAAGTAGAGGGACGGTGAAAAAGAGGAAGGCCTTCAACGAGGTGAATTGGCACAGGGGCTGCAGCGAAGGGCTCAAACACAAGAATGAATGATTGTGGGGATGGTGCAGGACCGGGTGGTGTTCTGTTCTGTTGTTCATAAGGTCACTGTGGGTCAGAACTGACTTGATAGTACCTACCAATCCCCACCACCACACGCCACCACAAGGGTTTATTATGCACCTGCTACATCCATGCCCTGCACTAGGTGCTAGGGATCGGCAATGAGGCGAGTCAATATTATTCCTGTAATCCAACCATTCTCCACTATCTGGGCCACACACATGCCCACCGAAATGGGTGCACCGCATCTACACCTGTGTGACCCTCAGGCCACAGCCCCTCCCCCACGTGTAGGGTTCTCATCTGTGTTCACAGTCTCCTGAGCCACAACCCTGCTCCTCCTCTCCCCTGTGCCCTGCCAAAGTCCACTTGAAGGTGCTTACCACCAACCAGCTCAACTGATGGCGCCCATGGTCAAAGCACCCTCCCAGGAGCCAGCTCCCGTCATAGCCATGACCATCCGAGAGACAGGTGGGAAGCTTCTACGCCAACCACAACTCTGTCCCTACCTCCTGCTCCAGCACCTGCCTCCCCAGGTCGACAGCCTCAGTTCGTCTGGGCCCAGGCTTTGCTGTGGCAAAGAGGAAGCAAGGTGGGTGGAAGCGACGCCAATCACTCAAATCAACCCCCAGATGAATACATACTTAGCATGAGGTCAAGACCATGAAGAGGCAGGACCTGTGAGTAAGCAAGAGCCAGGCAGGTGGAAGCCCACCCAGTGTAGGGCTGCCCAGGAAGGTCGTGTTGACAAAGTGGCCTCTGAGCAGAGGGCCACCGCACCAGGACGAGTGGCCTCCGTACAGGCTCTGAGACGGGGAAGTGCTTAATGCAGTGGAAGACCCGTGAGGAGGCCAGCATGGTGGGAGCTAAAGGGTGAAGAAGGATGGGAGATGAGGCCAGAGGGGTCTTTAGGCTCAGTTCAGGGCCACGTGTGTGAATGTGTGAAGCAGAGCAGGTAATGTGATGTCACCTGGGTATTGCCAAGGTTTCCAGGTAGAGACTGATGAGGTCAGGGGCAGGTGGGGGCAAGGGAGGATAAAGGGAGGATAAAGGAGACCTGTGCCCATCAGGGCAAGAGGGCATGTGGTTGGTTCTAGGATGGATTGGCATAGGGTGAGATCCTAGTGTTCATCAAATCCACACAGTATGAACTGAAAGAAATTAGTAGCCACCCTGGATCTTGGGTAGGGTGCCCATCCTCCACGCACCCCACACCACACACACACCACACATACACACACACACACACACACACACAGTATTGGGCAGGTCTGCCAAGAAGCCCCTGCCTCCACCCTGCACAGAGCTCTGCCAGCGTTTCCATGAACTCACAAGGCACATTTATTAAGCTTCCGCCTGCGCTCAGGCCCCGCTGGGGGCGTGTTGGAGGCCGGTGTCGGCAGCCGGCACTCACTTGTTGTCCACCCGTTTCAGCTGCTCCTTGCCGTTAATGGTCACCGACTTGAGCTGCCCGTCCTCCTCCACCTCCACGCGCTCCTGCCCGTTCTCCACGATGCGCTTGGTGCTGATCTTGTGCCCGTTGACCATCTCAGTGGACGACATCACCGACTTGAACCCTGAACTGCCGGCGCCCGAGCCCCCAAAGGAGGTGGAGGAGAAGGTGGTGCGGCTGGCGCCGCGGCCCAGCACGTGGTCGAAGGCCGAAAAGGCTTCCATGAAGGCGGGGAACTCGCCGAAGCCCGCCGAGAAGGCCCCGCGCAGGCCACGGCCACGGCCGTCGCGGTCGCTGCTGAACGGGTTGTCCCAGAAGTCAAAGGAGAAGGGGTCGAGGCCCCCGAAAAACTCTCGGAAGATGTCCTCGGGGTTGCGGAAGGTGTAGCCGGTGTCGAAGGGGCTGCTGTAGTGGGCGCTGGCCCCGCCGCCCGCCCGCCAGCTGTCGCAGCCCGCGTGGTCGTACACGGAGCGCTTCTTGGCATCCGAGAGCACCTCGTAGGCCTCCGACACCTGCTTGAACTTCTTCTCGGCCTCCTCCTTGTTGTCGGGGTTCTTGTCCGGGTGCCAGCGCAGGGCCAGTTTCCGGTAAGCCTTCTTGATGTCCTCCGGAGAGGCACAGGACTGCACCCCGAGCACTTCGTAGAAGTTGGCCATCCTGCCGGGCAGCGGCCAGGTGCTGCCGGGTGGGGACAAGAAGGTGAAGGGCGGTCAGAGGGCCAGCTGGTTGGGATGGCTGTGCTGGAGACAGCAGCTGGTCTGGGTCCCTTCTGCCAGGGCTCTTGCTGGAACTGCTGTCCCCGGGCGCGGCTATGCCCGGCAAGTTTAACTCTTCATAGTACCAGCTCTCAGGGACAGGCAGAGGCCTCCCTCTGTGAGGGGCAGGGGGGAGGGGAGGGCCTCAGCCACTGTGTGGCCAGGCCAGGGGCAGGCCCGCCTCACAGCTCACATCACCTTTTGTGACATCAGCCCCAGCACATGGCAACGCCTGGCTCATCGGTCACTTCCTGTAAGGGAGGCCGGGCTGCCCCCGCTGCTCTGGAACGTGGCCCACAGGCTGCCGGCCGAGCTCCCCAGGATGGGATCTGGGCCACGTTGGGCAACTAAGGTTAGTGGCAGTGGTCAAGGGAGGGAGGGAAGGCTTCCGGGGCCATGTTCTCTTAACCTGACGGCTGAGCTGTTGGTAAGGAGGAAAGGGGGTCCGAGAGGAGGGCCAGGCCCCGCTTGGGGGATGAGGACCGGAGTGAACTGTACTCTCCTTGGGCCGCATTATCTCATCATGTCCTCAGAAGTCAACACACACAGAGGAAGAAGCCGAGTCAGACAGAGATGGAAGAAATGGCCTGTCTGCCTAATGACCTCCACAGACCAGAAGAGACTACAAGAACCGAGCAGTGCAACCGTTACCAAGCACTTTGATCCAAGATGCTGTAGGAGAATCCAGATCAAGTGGAGGGAAGCGCTGTGTTAGTCAGGGCTGACTAGAGAAACAAATCCAGAGACAATCATATGTGTACAAGAAAGAGCTTTATATACAAGAACGATTGAATATTGAGAACACATCCCCATCCTGTCCAGATCAAGTCCATATGTCCGATATTAATCTATATGTCCGATACCAATCGATAAATTCCTATTCAGACTCACGCAACACATACAATGATGCTGAATGCAGGAAGATCACAGCCCAGTGGGTGGAAAGTTTTGTGGATCCAGTGACAGTGGAAGCATCTCAGCGCTGACAGGGGTCTCCACGTGGCTCCTCCAGCTCCAGGGCTCTAGTATAGCTCCATGTGTCTTCTCAGCAGAAATGTCTCTCAGGGAGTGAGCCTGTGTCCCGCCTCTAGTGAGCTATTTATCTCCTTTGCGCCTCCAAATGAGGCCATCAAGCTGCGACCTGATTGACAGGCTAAACACCCCTTCACTCTTAAGTCTCAAACTGACAACAGATTATGTAACTACCACAAATGCAGAACAGAATCTTTTTTTTTTTTTCTCTATGTCTTTTAAAAAAAATCATTTTATTAGGGGCTCATACAACTCTTATCACAATCCCTACATACATTAATTGTGTAAAGCTCATTTGTACTTTCATTGCCCTCATCATTCT